TGAACCAGCAGATGGAAGTTTCTCGCGATCTCTCGCGCTCTCTCCCCCTTCCCCTATGTAACTCTTTCAAATAAATAAATAAATCTTTTTTTTTTTTTTGACAGGCAGAGTGGACAGTGAGAGAGAGAGACAGAGAGAAAGGTCTTCCTTTTGCCGTTGGTTCACCCTCCAATGGCCGCCGCGGCCAGCGCGCTGCGGCCGGCGCACCGCACTGATCCGATGGCAAGAGCCAGGAGCCAGGTGCTTTTCCTGGTCTCCCATGGGGTGCAGGGCCCAAGCACCTGGGCCATCCTCCACTGCACTCCCTGGCCACAGCAGAGGGCTGGCCTGGAAGAGGGGCAACCGGGACAGAATCCGGCACCCCGACCGGGACTAGAACCCGGTGTGCCGGTGCCGCTAGGCGGAGGATTAGCCTAGTGAGCCGCGGCGCCGGCCTCAAATAAATAAATAAATCTTTAAAACAACAACAAACAGGGTCTGGCACCATGGCATACAGCAGCCGCCTATGATGCTGGCATCTCATATGGACACTGGTTCTGCCACTCTCCCAGAGAAAACACAACTTGATCACGTTTAAGAAAACAATCAGTCCGTCCACAAGAAAGGCCTGCTGGTGGGCAAAGGAGGGAAAGCAGCGAAAGGCAGAAGATGAAACAGTCTGAGAACCACCCTGCCCTATCATGGAGACAGGCACCAGAATTAACATTTGATTATAAGATAAAATTTTAATAAGCTCTAATATATAATCCAAATAAAACACAGCTTAAAGATCTATTAGCTATTACATCATGGTACGATATTAACTAGCTACATCATATGGGATTTATAATGTGCTCCAAAATGCTAAGACTTACACATTAACAATCTTATAAAAATCTGAGGATAGTGAATTAGTCATCTATTTGCCCTAAAAATTATTCATAATTATGTTGCAAATTATGAGTTGGAAAACCCCAGAATCAATCCAGAAAATTAAGTTAATTCAGGGCTAGATGATTCCAATTTCTTTACTTGTAATATAGGCAGTGTGGCTCTGCATCAGAGAATATATAGATCAAATGCATCAATGTACATCAGCACTATTCAAGAAAAAGATCTGGTGGGGCCAGCACTGTGGTATGGCAGTTAAAGCTGCTGCCTGTAGTGCCGGCATCCCACATGGTCACTGGTTCGAGTCCTGGCTGCTCCACTTCTGATCCAGCTCCCTGCTGATGGTCTGGGAAAGCAGTGGAAGATGGCCCAAGTCCTTGGGCCCCTGCACCCACGTGGGAGATCCCAAAGAAGCTCCTGGCTCTTGGCTTCAGATCAGCACAGCTCTGGCCTTTGCAGCCATTTGGGGAATGAACCAGCAGATGCAAGACCTCTCTCTGTCACTCTTACTCTCACTCTACTTTTCAAATAAACAAATCTTTTTTTTAAAAAAAGAAAGATCTAGCAGACACAGCTATTCCATTCACTTGAGTGTTCAAAGTAGAGTGCTGTAAAATAAGAAGAGTTCATCATTAATCTTTCCTGTGTTTGATAATATCCCTTTGTTCTTATTCTATTTTCACAAGCAATGTCTCAACCTGATTTCTCAAGTTAGTTGATACTAAAGGAAAATACTGAACTGTACAGATTTTTATTTTATTTATTTGAAAGGCAGAGTTAGAGAGAGAGCAGAAAAGATAAAGATCTTCTGCTTCACTGCCCAAATGGGTGCAACAGCCAGGGTTGGGCCAAGCCAAAGCCAGGAGCCTCTGCCAGGTCTTCCACATGGGTGCAGGAGCCCAAACACTTAGGCCATCCTCCACTGCTTTCCCAGGCACATTAGCAGGGAGCTGGACGGGAAGTGGAAAAGCCAGGAACCAAACCAGTGCCTATATGGGATGCCAGCACTGCAGGCAAAAGCTTAACTCACCACATCACAGCACTATCCCCGAAATTAATATTTTCTATTACTAAGTTTAAAAAACGAGAGGTCCGTCTCAATGAGAGATGGCTTGTTAGCCTCTAAGAGGCCAATTAACATTAGGCAAACTTTAATAAAGCTTCTCATCTTGCAAAGCTGAAATTTTTATAGCACTAGATAGTTTTCTGTTGGGCATGTAGCCTCAAATATTGGATGTTCCCTTTTCTTTAAAAAAAAAAAAAAAAAAAGAAAAAGAAAAAAGCTGACTACCTTACTATGGACATACAGGACATATAGGATCACTGAAGATCCATGGGCTACAACTTGACCACAGCTGTTAACAGCAACAGTAATACCACAAGCAATAGCTAACATTTCTGTAGGGTTTACTGTGTACCAGTCCACCATTTGATGTATTTTAACTCATTTAATCCTCATTTAAAAAAAAAAAAAAAAAAAACCCTGTAGGCAGGTACTAGCAGCATCTCTACAGATGAGTAAACTGAGGCAGAGAAGAATTAAATAACTTGCTCAGAGTCACGGATGATAGAGGATCGAGCTGACATGCTAAGCATGGTGCCTTGGCTCCAGAGACAATGTTCGTAATTTCTTGTTGACTTTGCAGTACCAATTTTTTCAAATTTAAAATTTTTACTTTTTAAGACAGAAATCCCATATGTACCACAAAAAGAAGTTTTCCAAGTCTCCATGAATAAGCCATTAAATTGGAAATGGTTTTATCTATTGATTTATTCATGTTTTCAATCAATTTTAATAAATATGAAGGGCTTCAAAAAATTCATGGAAACTTCACCTTTCAATTTCGATCTTATTTATTTGTAAAGGCAGAGACAGAGAGGGAAGGACAGAAAGACCAAAGACAGCTCCCATCCACTGCTTCATCACTCCTCGAATGCCAGCTAGGGCTGGGCCAGGCCAAAGCCAGGAGCCCAGCACTCCACCTAGGTCTCTCTCACATGGGGCGCAGGGACTCAAGTACTTGAGCCATAATCTTCTGCCTCCCAGGATGCATCTGTAGGAAGCTGGATCAGAAGGGAGTAGCTGGAACTCTGATATGGCACGCTGGCGTGTCCCAAGCAGCAGCCCGCCCCTTCCCCTTTTAAACTGTGCAGAGCTCTGTACCTGCCCTGAGCAAGAAGAAAATGTGACCTAAGTGTGGTGCAGGACTCCTCAGGCTGTACCACAAGAGGCAGCACTGCTCCCCTCTGACTTGCTTTCTCTCTCAGGATGCTTGCCCTTAAAACCTACCACTACCTGTGAGTGGGTATTCCACACCACACCAGCGATGCCTCCAGCCAACAGGCAACATCAACACTAGGCCTGGGTGACCAAACCTTCCCCCCACGATTCTAACCGCAGCCTTCAATTCTTCCAGTTAGACGCCAGACAGCGTGCAACTAGGACCAGCTACCCCCGCTGAACCCTGAATGAACTCCTGACCCACAGAAACCAGAAGGTAATAAATGACTATTGTTCACTCAAGCTACTGCATTTGGAGGTTATTTGTTAGGCAGCAATAAACACTTTGTAAGTAGGGACCACAGGTGACCACGCCAGCAAGTTAGGCTCCCAGTCAGTCTAAATGGGCACAGACATTCCGCGGTCTTTCTACCATAGGATGCAATCTCCCGATTTGTTTACAGTTGTTCATATTTCCAACTAAAGCAAGTCTCCAGGCTAAAATTCTTAAGAGCATTAGAAAAAACATAGTATTTTCAATTAATACTAAAGGTAACAGTTACTCCATTAGCAGATCAAAATCACCGCACCGTTTCTGACCCGCGAATACCTTTCACACCGAGCGACATACATCCTATAGTTCTCGTAACTGGAGTTAATTAGGCAGTATCTCTGCATCCGTGACTATGAACTCAAACACTGACAGAACACCTTTACAAAGCACTGTAGCCATCACTAATTCATTTGATTCTTGGGGAAAAAACTATCAGATACGGCAAATATCATGCAGATCAAGTTCAAGGAAGTTAAAACTAGCTGTAACACAGTTAAGAATTCAATTTCAGAGTTTCTGATCAGAAGTCTAGTGCCGTTTTCTATTTCTACTTTACTTGAAAGAACATTTACAGAGCACTGTGTACAACACTGTATTTGCGAGTATTTACCACGTATCACTTTGTGCAAAGTGTGAGGACAGACACATCTCTCCCATCTGCCCTCATCACTTTCAGGGACAGTACAAAAACCTCTGACACAGCTCATCTCCACAAAGTTGTCTGACCCACCCTCTACATTGTCAACTGACAATTTTTCCTGATCCACTTCCTCAATCGTAATACTCAAAAACTTGAAAACAATGGCCAAAATTAGGACAAAAATGCCTAATTTCCTCATCTGCTTTCCAGATTTCCTGTAATCTAATCCCAGTTAAGTTGATCAAATTAATTGCCCTCCATTTGCTGAGAAAACCCAAATTAATCTCTTCATTCTTCCCTAATTCACTTTCTTGGCCTGCCTTTTGTTCATGCTATCACCCAAATCGGAAGTGGTACTCCGCATTCATCCTCAGCCCCTGGCAGTCTCTTTCCTCAAAGACCTTAAAATCCACTGCAGAGCTGGAATTAAGAATGCAAACCACCAAGAATAATGAAGTCCGCAGTACAGACTACCGCTGACAGTACACACAGGAGGGGAACCACTGAGGACCGCACGAGTGCCTCCACAAAGATGACCCTGAAATGGGCTCTGACTGACAGGCAGGCTTTGAGTTGACAGAAATCAAAGCCACCCATTCTAAGGACCAGCCTAAAAGCCTTCCTTTCCACCCTTCTTCCTAGTCACATCTCACGCGGTCCTCTAGGCAGCACCACTGCCTTCAAGAACCTTTCCTCAATTACTTCCCAATCTAACACTCTCCTGAGCTTCTCACATAATTCCTACACACAACCCTCACTCTGACACTTCGTCATTCTATATTATAGTCCTTATCTCATCAACCTGAGCCTCACAGAAGCCAGAAATGTCTCTGCAGAATAAGCAGTCAATGTTTGTTCAACTACTCAATTCGACAGCCAACACTGTTTTCAGTCATGTAAAATCTGCTGAACGTAAACACTGTTTCTTAACTTACCGAGCCTCTCCTTTGGAAAGATTTGTGTTTACAGGATTGAGGATGACCTTGTTTGCATCAACATCCACCACACATTTGGTATGCAAGTCAATTTCTGCAAATAAGACACAAGAAAAAGTTTTAATTTTACAAAAAGCATTTGACAAAAAGTCAACATTCATCCACGATAAAAAAAAAAAAAAATTCAACAAACCAGGAACAGAATGAAAATTTTTCAGTCAAATTAAGGGCATCTAAAACACACACACACACACACACACACACACAAAACACAAAAAAAAACCCACCATGGCTAAGGGCAGGCAGCTGGTGCACACTTCCAACACTCGCATCCCTTATCAGCATGCTTGGTTTGAGCTTCCAATTTAGCTTCCTGCTAATGCACACCCTGGCAGCAGATGGTGATGGCACAAATGCCTTGGTCCCTGACTTGGTTAAGTTTTGGGCTTCTGCTTTCTGCCTAGCCCAGTAATGGCTGTTACAAGCATTTGGGGAATGAACCAGCAGATAGAAGATCTCTCCCTATCACTCTCTCTCTTTGCCTTGCAAACAAAGTGAAAACAAATGAATAAACAAAATCTGTTAAAAACCACTACAGCTAATATCAGAGTTAATGTTAAAGACTGAAGAACTTAACTTCCAACATCCAGAATAAGAAAAGGGTCTCTACTACTCAATTTCTATTCAACAGAGTACTAGAGATTATAGTCAGGGCAGTTGGGCAAGAAAAAAGGCATTTGGACTACAAAGGTAGAAATAAAACTGTTTGCAGATTATATGATCTGCAAAACCCATTAAAAATCTTACAGAATCTAGTTTAAAAATCCTACTAGAATAAACAAGTTCTGCAAGGTTATAAGATATGACAATATATAATAGTCGGTTGTCTTTCCATACACCCCAATGAAAAAGCCTGTAAATGAAATTAAGAAAACAATTTCACTATAATAGCCTCAAAAATAATAAGGGATTGGTGCTGAAACAAGTGGTCAAAATACCAATTTCCTGGGGCCAGCACTGTGGTGCCAGCATCTCACAACTGCACCAGTTTGAGTCTCGGCTGCCCCTCTTCCAATCCAGCTCTCTGCTAATGGCCTGGGAAAGCAGTGGAAGATGGTCCAAGTGCTTGGGCCCTTGCATGTGAGTGGGATACTCAAAAGAAGCTCCTGACTCCTGGCTTCGGATAGGCTCAGCTCCAGCCATTGAAGCCGTTTGCGGAGTGAACCAATGGGTGAAAGATCTTTCTCTCTGTGACTCTCTCCCTGACTCTCTCCTTGACTCTCCCTCCCTCCCCCTGACTCTCTCTCCCTTCTCCCTTCCTCCCCCTTTTTTTTCTTTTTTTTTTCCTTTTTTTTTTTTTTTTGGACAGGCAGAGTGGACAGTGAGAAAGGTCTTCCTTTTCTGTTGGTTCACCCCCCAATGGCCGCTGCGGCTGGCGCACCGTGCTGAGCCAAAGCCAGGAGCCAAGTGCTTCTCCTGGTCTCCCATGCGGGTGCAGGGCCCAAGCACTTGGGCCATCCTCCACTGCACTCCCTGGCCACAGCAGAGAACTGACCTGGAAGAGGAGCAACTGGGACAGAATCCGATGCCCGACCAGGACTAGAACCCGGTGTGCCAGTGCCGCAGGTAGAGGATTAGCCTAGTGAGCCATGGCGCCGGCCCTCCCCCACTCTCTCTCTCCCTCCCTCCCCTGACTCTGAGTCTCTCAGACTCTCTCTCTACCTACCTCTGACTCTCTCTACCTACCTCTCAAATAAAATCTTAAAAAAAAAAAAAGACACCCATTCCTCATATTGGCATACCTGGGTTCAACACCCAGCTCCAGCTCCTGACTCCAGCTTTCTGCTTACATGGACCCTAAATGGTAACAGTGAGATTCAAGTAACTGGGATCCAGCCACCCATATGAGAGACCTGGATGGAGCTCTAGGTCTGGCATAGGTCTCTAGCAAACCCAGGGAGAGAATCAGAATAGGAGGGCTCGCTCTCACATTCACACTCATGCCCTATCACTAAAAAAAAAAAAAATTTAAAAACATTAAAATACTTAGAAGCATACTTAGAAGAAATGTAAAGTTTTTTATAGTGAGCCAGCAGATGGAAGATCTCTCTACCCTCCCCATAACTCCGCCTTTCAAATAAAATAAATAAAACTTTAAAAGACAATCATCAACTGCCATTTGAGGAATAAATCAGCAGAAGGAAGGTGTGTGTCTATCTCTGTCTCTGTCTCTTTCATTCTCCCCAATTCTGCCTTTCAAGTAAGTAAATCTTTTTAAAAAAATATTGGCATCATCAAAATGTCCACTCTTCCAAAAGAAATTTACAGATTTAATGCTATACCAAAATACCAAAGACATTCTTCTCAGATCTAGAAAAAATGATGCTGACATTCATAGGGAGGCACAGGAGACCTCAAATAGTTAAAGCAACCTTATACAACAAAAACAAAGCCAGAGGCATCACAATACCAGATTTCAAGACATACTACAAAGAGGTTATAATCAAAACAGCCTGGTACTGGTGCAAAAATAGACAGACCAATGGAACAGAATGGAATCACCAGACATCAATCCAAACACCTACAACCAATTTATATTTGACCAAGGAGCTAAAACCAATTCCTGGAGCAAGGACAGTCTCTCAACAAATGGTGCTGGGAAAACTGGATGTCCACATGCAGAAGTATGAAGCAAGACCCCTACCTTACACCTTACACAAAAATCCTTTCAACATGCATTAAAGATTTAACCTACAACCCATAATGATCGAATTAATCAAGAACATTGAGGAAACCCTGCAAGACATTAGCACAAACAATTCCTGGAAAAGACCCCAGAGACACAGGTAGTCAAAGCCAAAATGAACAACTGGGATTACATCAAATTCAGAAGCTTCTATGAAGCAAAAGAAATAGTAAGGAAAGTGAAGAGGCAACCGACAGAATGGGAGAAATTATTTGCAAACTACACAACTGATAAAGGATTAATAACCAGAATCTACAAAGAGATCAATAAACTCTACAACAACAACAAAAATCCAGTTAAGAGATGGACCAGGCCCGCGCCGTGGCTCACTTAGCTAATCCTCCGCCTGCAGCAGCAGCATCTCATTTGGGCGCCAGTTCTAGTCCCGGTTGCTCCTCTTTCAGTCCAGCTCTCTGCTGTGGCCCAGGAAGGCAGTGGAGGATGGCCCAAGTGCTTGGGTCCTGCATCCGCATGGGAGAGCAGGAAGCACCTGGCTCCTGGCTTCACATCAGCGCAGTGCCAGCCGTAGCGGCCATTTGTGGGGAGAACCAATGGAAGGAAGACCTTTCTGTCTCTCTCTCTAACTCTGTCAAATAAATTAAAAAAAAAAAAAAAAAAAAGAGATGGACCAAGAACTTTAA